TATATATATATATATATATATATATATATATATATATATATATATATATATATATATATATTTGTTTTTATTGTGTTTATTACTGTAGGATCTTGAAGCCGTACTGGAAAAATCTGAAGAAGGCTTATTAGTGCTTCATACAAAAAAGAAAAAAGATTAAATAACGATTTGCGGAATAAACTTGCAAAATTAATAGTCAGTAATGAGTTGTCACCTAACATAAATTTTAGTATTACCAGTAGCAGAGCATCATTCTTGAGCGAACATGTATAAAAAATTATTTTCAACAGAAGAAAAAGTCAGTTTACACTATATATAATAAATAATAATAATAATATTGGGTGTATAACTTAATTCGGTCCGTTTTTTTGCTTGAAAAACGCATTTATTTGAATGATAAAATGAATTAATACATTATTGAAAGTATTGTCCATCGCTAGCCACTACTTTTTCCCATCTTTCTGGTAATTTATGGATTCCGTCGCGGAAGAAGCGTTCATCTTTTGAAGCCAAGAATGAATCGTGCCAATTTTTGATACCCTGTTCTGAAGTGAAGTGTATTCCAGTCAAAGCGTTCTGCATCGATCGAAACAAATGGTAGTCGGAAGGGGCAAGGTCTGGGCTATAAGGCGGGTGAGCCAGAACTTCCCATCCGCTATTTTCCAAATAGTTTTTAACCGGAACAGCAACATGAGGCCGAGCGTTGTCATGGTGAAAGATTATGGACTCGTGTCTGGTCGCATATTCTGGACGTTTTTCGGCTATAGCTCGCTTTAAACGGATCAATTGTCGCCTGTAGAAGTCTCCCGTGATGGTTTGACCAGGTTTTAGCAGCTCATAGTGGATCACACCCTTCTGATCCCACCAAATACAGAGCATTACCTTGGCATCATGGATATTCGGCTTCGGCGTTGATGTTCCCGGTTGGCCGGGCTTTACATACGATTTTTTGCGTTTCGGGTTGTCGTAGTGAATCCATTTTTCGTCCCCGGTAATGATTCGATGCAGAAAAGACTTCTTTTTGTACCGTTCAAGCAACATTTCGGACATGCAAAATCGTCGTTCGATATCTCTCGGTTTCAATTCGTATGGGACCCAATTTCCTTGCTTTTGGATGTATCCCGCGGCTTTGAGTCGTTTCGAAATAGCTTGTTGAGTAACTTCCAATGTTCTTGCGAGCTCTTTTTGCGTTTGACACGAATCTTGATCGAGTAATGTTTCTAATTCTTCATCTTCAAACTTTTTCGGTTGACCCGAACGCTCTTTGTCTTCAACACTAAAATCACCACTTTGAAATCGTCGAAACCATTCTCTGCAAGATTTATCCGACGGTGGAGATTCACCATAAACTTCCACAAGCATTCGATGCGCTTCAGCTGCACTTTTCTTCCAATTAAAACAGAAAATCAAAACTTCCCGCAAATGGTGCTTATTTGGAACGAAACTCGACATTTTCAACGCAGTAAAAATTAAACTTGTTGTGCAAAACTCAAAGGCTTGTAAACAATATTTGGTTGACAGATGTTGACACTTCACGATACAGCAAAAATCAGCTGTCGCCGTCAACCATTTATAGCACCTAGAGCCATCTTTTGAAAACGGACCGAACTAAGTTATACACCCAATATAATAATAATAAAATAAATACATAAATATAAAAATAAAAGTATGTGTGTGTGTGTGTGTACATACTACTAGTCTTTTTTCATAATCATTTTGTTATTACTTGCAGAGTGTCTGGTACATGAAGATTGAGAAAGGTCAATCACAAGGAAGAGGAAAAATCCTAACAAAATATTATTCGACACGTAGAAAACTTATAAAAGCTGGTTTGTTAAGTGCGAAAGCTACTGCAACACTTGCTGTGATTGAAAATAATAAATTCTGTTTAAATATATTGCGAGAGTGAGGGAGTGAAGGAAATGAATATATTAATATTATGTAATATTTGTATCATTATATATTAGTGATATTTATAACATCTATGCGTGCGCGCGCGCACGTGTGTGTGTGTGTGTGTGTGTGTGTGTGTGTGTGTGTCTATCTACTGTTTATAACGAAATATTATTTTTAAAATTGTTATTTATATTTATCACTCCCTTTGTCTTATAGATGAATCGAGTGACGGTGACACTGTCAACTATGAAGAATATTTCTTATGGCTAAAGAACAATTGTAGACCATGGCAAAAAGTAACTGAATATTGGTCTGAGATTTCAAAAAAACGGGTGCAAGACTTGATAAACAATAAACAGCCTTGCCATGAGTATATGGATCAATTTCCAGCTCTCTCTGATCCATTAGGTTATCTATTAGTGAGCACATGAGATTATTTTAGTATATCTATTAAAGAACTGAAATCTTAGTAATTAATATTAAATCTATATTTTAAGGGGGTCATCCCGTGTGACGGCTTCAAAAAATCGATTTTTTTTTTGCATAAATCTAATCTAGAGCATGCATAGAATATACTGGCAAAGTAATTTTCCAAAATTCGAAGTCATTGAAAAGTTACAGCAGTGAGAAGGTAAGGTGTTTTAAGCACGCAGCTGAGCGCTCGGCAGGATTTTACAAGCTGAGCCTTATGGTAATGACTCTCTTGTTATTAAAAAAGAGTGTGTTGGGCATGTTGAGAAACGGATGGGAACACGACTCCGAAATGCTAAAAAGAATAATAAAGGTATTGGTGGCAAAGGTCAGGGCAAGCTAACGGACAAGCTAATTATTGAAATGACAAAATTTTATGGCTTAGCCATTCGTCGCCATCCCGATTCATTAGAAGAAATGAAGAAAGAAGTTTGGGCCACATTCTACCACAAATGCTCTACCGATGAAAATCCTCAGCACCAGAACTGTCCAGCAGGCGAAGGTAGCTGGTGTAAATGGCGGCAGGCTGAAGCTAAGAGCACGCTCGACCAATTCCACCACGAGAAGGCCCCATTATCCAAGGAAGTACAAGCAGTAGTTAAACCTATCTATGAAGATTTATCCAAGGACGATCTTTTGACCCGTTGTTTAGGAGCAGAGACGCAGAATAATAATGAGTCGTTAAATTCACTCATTTGGACGTTCGCTCCGAAACATCTACATTCAGGCGCTCAGATAGTTCAGATTGCAACTTTTTTGGCCGTCGTCATCTTTAATGAAGGCTTCCAAGGCATTATTAAGATAATGCATACGATGGGCTGTTCAATTGGACGATCAACGCACGCTTATGTAGAGCGCCGCGACGAAGCCCGGATCAGCCGTTCCGAGCAGCGCATGAGCGACGCGGCAAGAGAGGCTAGAATTTCA